CCTGACTCTAAATACCTGTTTGCATGTACATGTATGACTGTGGATGTCAAATTTCATTTCATATTGGTTAGTTTCAGGTTTCATGTTAGAATAACAATATCTAATGTCAGTGTTTTTTCTTGAATTGTTCAAAACTCAAAATTGTAACCGTACTTCAAGGAGAAATGCAGCGAAAGGGTACATTGGAGTATCAATGTACAATTACATGTACTCGTATGTACATGTACCTTGAGTTGTGTGTATGGCACTTTCTATTGGCTGAAGAGGAAAGGGCAAACACTGAACTTTTTTTTGTCTTCTTTTTTTGGCATGCTGTCTTAGCAGTTATTTTGATACCATCTGCTGTTTTTTTAGCTTCCAATGATGACATCATAATCATATCTTCATTGTTCCTACTCTTGTGGCTTCTGTACAGTTGCAGTGAAGCCCGCACATAGGCGTTTAAGTATATTTCATTCATTTGTTTTTCATTTTGTTTCATGCTCAACTAACCTTCTCTCATACCTCTTCGGCATGTCGGCATGGAAGGTCTTGACTGTACCGTCGCAAAGATCTATACTGTAATCAACGTTTCCGACTTTGGCTAGTACAGGGAAAGGACCTATAACCATAGGAATAGTTTGTTGTTGGTCAGTGTGTAGGAGTAGTATTACGAGGTCACCGCCATTGAAATTTTGGGCTCGACTTTTAGTAGTGTTTGTTCATATCTACCAGCGTTTGCAAATTCTGCTGTGTGATTTCACACTTCTTTTCTAGACGCTCGCAGAGATTGAGAACATGTTGGTGTATAGTTTTAACTTTGGGACTTTCAACCTTACCCGTCCAAAGTTTGCGTAAGATACATGTAGCTATCGGACTATGGACTGTGCGACTGTAAAGTACATCGAAGGGTGCAAATTTCAAGCTTGAGTGAGGGGTTTCATGATATGCAAACAGGAGAGATCCAAGATAGCAATCCCAATTGCACAGCTTTTCTGCGCGAAGCCGTTTCAACATTAGTTTAAGTACACCGTTCATGCGTTCAACCAAACGGTTGCAAGAAGGATGTAATGGAGTAGTGGTCATCTGTTTAATCAACAAGAGCCTACTCGTTTCTTTCATGAGATCTGATGTAAACTGTCATTCCTGATCGGAAAGAATTTCAGTTAGGAAGCTGACTCGTGTGAATACATCGATCATGGCATCTACATGTACATGTACTTCCCTGGTAGTTTCAATATTACTGGTAGGTAGAGCAACGGCTTCTGGATGCCACGTAATCAATCAGGGTCAATATGAAATGATGGCCTCTGTCAGATTTGGGGTGAAGGGGGCCTGTAATGTCCACAGCCACACGTTTAAATGACATATCTATAAGAGGCATATCTCCCAGTGGTACATGTACCTTGGTCACTTTGCCTTTGGAATCGTCCATTGACATATGTCATAGGAACGACAATATCGGGTGCTATCCGCCTGACACCCTGAATTCACTCATAACCTTATCACATGTTTTCCGTGCTCCTTGGTGTCCACCCAGGATGGTTTCAGGAGCTACTTTAATTACATTGACTCAGTATTTACATGTAATAGGAACTACAAGTTGAGCACACGCGTCTCCA